ATATAATCTTATGCGGTAATAATATTTTGGTAACATGAAAAGAATTACTATTTCAAAGCCAGAAAAATTTCAACTTGTCAAAAACACATCACCAATAACAACTGAGTAATATAATATGAGTATGTAACTAAATAGTAACTAACTTTATTCTATCTTTTTATAAGTAAGCAGTAATTTTTTTCATTACTTTAAATGTGCTCTATAAATTGAAAGTAATATTATAACGAACCTTTTAACACCGAGCTTTAGATCGATGATTGTTGGAGAATTCAAAGTTGAGTCCTATAACAAATTAATTTGTACGGAGCAAGGAAAGACGAAGATTCCTTGGATTTCTTTCCCGTGTGAAGAATTTAGCGTCAGATATATGAAAACCTAACAGACATACTCGCTGAAGATATGTAAGTTTCCTTCTTATATTAGGCAGTAATCACTAGCCCGCTGCTCAGCTGACCAATGTACCTTATTGTTTGTATCTGAGTTGCATTCAGTTACTCTCAACATTCCTCTACATAACCGTTGTTTTCGTGATCTCATTTATGGAATATATAAGCCATCTGTCAACTTCCATTGCGCGTATACGTAATAACCCTACCTCTTCATTTGTCTGTTATCGCTCTAAATTATTGTCAATGCTTTCTGACTAGAAAATAAGCTCCATTTTCTAAAAACTAAGACTACTCAGCCTCCAAATTTCTTCTGATTACTAAGATAAGATAATTAGCACAATGATCTTTATGGTCAATGCCTGGAGGCTTTATTATTTATTTCTAAGATGTGGCTTTTGTGGGTTAAACTTCTACACTGTGACTTTGATGCTTTCCACCTACCGGGCACTAAAACAAAAAAAGGGACAAATAATGTCTGAAAATTGAATTATGCAGTAATAATAGATGGCAGCATTGTGGCACCTAGAAGTATTGGAAATATTCTGTTAATCGACAAAAACCTGAAGGAAAAATACGGACAGCCATACTTGATAACTATGAAATGGGTACTTACTTTACTTTAAAATTACTTTAAATTTTAAAAAATAAATTAATCCAGTCAGCCATTTTACAATGTATAAAGGAAAGTAAAATCAAATTATTAAACTTTTCAGTTGAAATAAAAATATTATAGAATAAGTTTCTCAAAATTTTAGGTTTTATTTATTTTTTAGTTAAAATATATGCAAATGTTAATATAATACGAGTATGCAAATGAAGTTAAAATTGCTTGGCGATTACTAAGATCTCACTTTGCAAAAAACAGCGACTATACACACACTTAATATGCAATATAAATCTTTAAAATGGTGAGTTCTTAAGATTTAGAGAAAATTTAAATTATTTAATTATTTTATTTTCACATTTGTAGTTAAATTATTTTGACGCCTTAAGGTGTAAGGTGAGTATGGCTTCTAGTGACATTTACCTAATTAATTAAAAAAATTATGTAGCTACTGTAATTTTTGAGAATTATAAAACAATTTTAAATGATTTTAATTATTTTGACAAAATTTTCTAGACTATTTAAGAAAATTAAAAGTTCGAAATTGGTTAATTAATCTGATATTCATTAGAAATTCAAGTGCGATATGAGAGACACTAATGACATTCAAAATTAAGCTCTTTATGTTTACTTAATGTGTTATTTGTTTCCTGTTTCCTAGAGTGGCAAGTAGTTTTATAGAGTTTAGCTATTTTACTGAAAGGTTTTCTTTAATATATAGAATTTATTACTTTTATTAGGAAGTGGCATGGTGGAAGCAGCTACTGTGTATGAAGCACTGATTACAATTGTTGACCTGGAACCAATTCTAATTGGTATCTGGAAGGATTGTAGTAAATATCTAATCTATTTTTTGGAATACGTTATATGATATGACCAGCACAATACTTAAAAGTGAGTTTGATTAACTGAATAATTAGTATTGAGAACTCAATTATTGAACCGTCACATATACTAAGCTGTAGGTATGGGAATATTTATTTGATATATGAAAAAATAGTTTATATTTAAAAAAGCTCAATATATTTGAACATTACACTTGCAGTTATAATAATTTTTAATATTTTTTTTATTTATTTAAAATTATATATTTCAGGTATCTGTAGTGAATGACGCGTCTGTTGAGTTTTACGGCCTATCACCAAGCGCAAAAGCTGGCGGGATATATGAAACTGGAAAAGTAATATAAAAAACCCGCATTTCAAATGAAATAATTCTTCTGAAAGAAGAGATTGTGTTTTCAAATTTTTCGTACATAAATGTTGGTTTATTCCCACCAACTATTAAATATAATTAATATAATTAAAAAAAATAACATATGTGACAAATTAGCTTTTTCATTTCTTATTGGATTATTTTGTTAACAAAATTATAGCAACGAAATCATTGAAATCTACATTATAAGTAATATGAATTTTATATTTATAAAGAAGTTGTCCGGCTCACAGTTAAATCCAAACATAATTGACGTCTTGATGGAACAATCTTAGGCTACAAATTAGTAGTAGAGCGGATGCATACCTACGTTACCTAATTTGTTGGATTTTGAGGTCGAAATACACCTATTTTGTCTTATCCCATAATCTATAATGAATTTTGAATACACATATAGTATGTGTATATTAAACGTCAGCAATGTAGTTATTTGTTCTAATACATATGTAGAACTGAAGTGCTAGAGAGCGCGGAGAGAGAGAGAGAGGAACTACACAGTTATGTTCTCTAGATATTACTCTATACATTTCTCTAATGCCAGCACCATCTCATTCAAATGTTATCCATGTTACATCTTACAATATTGGATCCTTAAATCGTCATCTTATATGATGTATTGCAAATATTTCAATGTTCACCAATAAAAAGAATTCAATATTTGGAATGCGTTGATAAAAACGTTCCCCACTGCAGTGTGGAATAATTGTAGAATGCAGATGTTATGTGAACTAAAAATACCACTTTGAAAAAAATTTGTTAATGAGTTTAAACATCCTTGTGGGAAGAACAGATGAAACTTCCGCAAAACTGACATTTATTTTATTTTTACCTTTTGTTTTCTACTTGACAAACTTTAAAATTTACTTCATTTTATCTAACGAAGTTCGCTTTAATTAAAAAAAGTAAAAAAAAAGACAAAAATTATCTGTCATTCTGTAATTCACAACTGACATGTTGTCAATTTTTATTATCCACAGTTAATTAACTCTTCAGTACTGTGAACAATACTTCTTCGTTCTGTTCATAATTATGCCACAATCCATTTTAAAAAGTTTTAATTTATTTTAAAGCCCAATAGGCTCAGTATTTTACCAGCTACTGACAGATTTTCTACAACAATTCAACATGCAATAAATCAAATTTTACAATGTGTTAAATGAGTTATTTCGTGTCTTCTCTTTTAAGGCAAATTAAAAAATGGCAAAACGGCAAAACGTCAACGTTAACAAGCAAACTTCAATTAACCACAACCGATTATAACACTTACCCGGGAATTCCGCCACTTTCCATGTGGTTAGCTAACGTAACATCATTTGACCACACATCAAATTGCCACTTAACGAGACCCAGAACACCACAATGTACACGCCCAGTGTGGATACCGACACGCATATTTACATTAACGGCCATAACCTCACGCACCAGTCTGCGGAACAAAATCCAATGGAACACAAAGCAAGTAATAATAGAATAAAATTAATGAATTTATTTTGTTTTAAAGATGTTAACGAACTTTTAAATAAACGAAAAAGTCGGCTTTAAATAACTAAAAGTATGCAACAAAAATACAACATTAAACGTTGCTACTTACGCTATGGCATCAATCATATCTAAACCCATTTCAACGGCACAATGTGCATGATCCGGCCGGGGTTCGGGTAATCCTGAGACACAATAATAACAGTCGCCAAGCAGCTTAATACGCAAACAATGATGCTCAGCAGCCAATCTATCAAATCTAGAAATCAAAAAATCTATTACAATTTTTTTCCTTTTCTCATTTTAGCTCAGCTGTATTAAAAGGGTTTCCTCTTTTCTTACTTAAAGAGGGTAAATTATGAACTTAAAGAAAAAAAATAAAAAAATTGTGCATTATTGATGTGCTTGTGTTGTCGTGTATGTCATGGATTAACAAGGTTAAGATGATTTCTTGTTTACCCTTTGTCACGCTCGTCGTGAATGTATTTCGAGTCCTTAGAGTCATACGACTTATTTTTAGCACATAATTATTTAGCAGAAATTAATCCAAAAGTTGTGTTAAGTAGCTAAATTAGCATACATAAATCCAGGGTTGTTTAATGTAAATCAGTTTATCCGGAACTCACGAACTCAGCGAGTACTGGGTTATTTATTTATTTATTTTATTTTAATTTTCCTTTTTATTTTAATTAATTTTATTTAAATTTTAACAATTGCCTTTCAGCAGCGCAATTGCATACGCATTTTAAAACATTTTTTATTTATTAATATTAATTATAATTATATTCTTTCAATGACAAAAAATCTGTTAAATATATGAATGTAAGCGGATATTGCGAAACTTATAATGCGGATATTAATTCATTGGAATTGATAATGTCATGAGATTTAAGCAGCTCCATTAATATTATTTATTTAAATTATTTTGGTTTGTTTTTATATTATATTTTTATTTGCAATTTCATGACTTATTTAATGAATAAATTGCAATTTTATCTGTATTTAATTATTTCGTTTTATTTTTTTGGCTTTATTCGACTTGACTTACCTTGCAAATAGCTCATTAAGTAGTCTTACTAATTCCTCTGCAGTGCATTGATCCGAAAGACTGGTGAAACCGCAAATATCTGCAAAAAGTATGCTGAAAAGAATTAAGGTAAAGTAATTACAATTTTAAAATTATCTCAGAAAGGGTTTAACAAAGTAAGTGGAAGTTCTTCAAATAATTAATTTTAAAAAGTTTATTGCAGTTGCAATATTACAAAGTAAATAATTCATTGCACCAAAAAAGGATTGCAGCATTATCATGCAAGTCCTTTAATAAAGTTCAGGAACTTAAACTTGTGGAATTACTTGGTTTCTTTTAATGAACTAAAATAATTCACAAAGATTTCAATTTGAAAATGACAACGACAAAGTATTAAAGATTCTTTGTTCTCAGAATTGTTCAATTTTAATTAATATTGTTTTCATAATTTTAAAATTTACTCAAAGATTATATTCACTATAAAGACTATAGAGAAGTCAAAGAACTTAGTACTACGACATCAAACTTTGTAATCTATAATACAAAACCTTATTACTTTTCAATATTTACTATACCAAATACTTTTTTTATTGTTTAACTTTAAAGGACTTAAAATAATATCAAAGTGATAAAGTGTAAAAAAAACTGCAATACGCGGTGGGTTGTATAGAATTATCTTGCAATAACGTTAGAATTTATATCCGTTGACATGGATTACAGAAGTAATATGAAAATACTTTTTATCTATCAACATACAGAGCTTTCTAGAAAATAATCACTCACGTTAAATGTATCCTACTAAATTGTCTATCTAATACCCACAACTTGAACATTTTTACCAACAAAAACATTATTTATTGTATTTATTGTATTCTTTCTTTCTTCATACCCTTTACTTATCTGCACTCTTTCGTAAAAGACATATCTCAACTTATAATATTGTAAAGTAACTAAAAATAAATCAAAATCAATTAATAGTCAATTTTAGGTGGAATTGGTTGGCATGAAGTTACCAGTTATAAATTTTCAGGTCACTATTGATATCAGCAACTTTTAAATTCATATATATTATTTAGCAAAAACTGCTTAAAGGTTCATATTTCTATATTTTTAAGTTATGAAGACAGACAGATGTTTCTGAAAGTACATTTATAAATAATTTATTCTTTTCTAAGCATAGCTTTTTTATTGTTTCAAAACAATATCCAACCCAACCATATAAACAAACTATGATATACTTTTGTTATCCGCCAACCGCCATTTTATTCTTTTCTTAGTACAGGGTTGGTAAATGAGTTTTCAACTCAACAGGTTAGTTTTTTTTATTTACTGAGTATTATATTTTAACACAATAGTTGCAATCAATATTGATGTTAATATATATCTTTAATTTAAAAGAAGACGAAACCACTTCACATATACGAAATATATGACAGAATATTAAAGTATATGGAAAATGCAAAACAATTTAATCATGTCTAAAATAAAATATACAATAGTTTCGCAAATGAAAATTTTTTAATATTTTATTCAATTCAATTTTTAATAATAAATTTCACTCAATACATACGTATTTTTCATGAATAAATAATCAGACATAACTGAAACAAACGCTTCCGTACAAATTACAAAAAAGTTACGTATACGACATGAGTGTCCGTTACTACACAGCACCCAGCTGCTACACTTTAAAGCAAACGAATTTTTAATGAATTCAGTGACACCTTTGTAAAATTAATCAAAAATAAATAAGAATGGCAAAGAAAAATAGTGAAAGAAATTTCACTCAAGGAAATCAAATATCAACAGCAGATACAGTGGAAATGTTTTATCGATAATGGGATTTTGTGACTTTTTGACTTATGCTGATCCCGCTTAAGATATATGCTCTCAAAGTAATTTAATACAAAAAGCTGAAGGGAGATGTACCGAAATAAAGGCAGCAATACAAGCAAAAGCAAATATGTGCAATAAAAAAATCCGAAAGGACATGAAACTTGCTATCAACAAGTTAAGTTGCCTTTAAGGATATTAAACGTGAGAGGTACCAAGCAAGAGATGATGTTTGTGCACACTTGGTGAATGGCAAACGCTACTCCAACGAGTAGTGTGAGTCTTTCAACAAAACTAAGGAAGGTAGCTTTCCAGTAAATTCGTACTTCACTTAGAATGCATGTAGCGATAAATTTGTGTCTCTTCACTTCTCTGGCATTTTGTTTTTTGCTAATAAGAATAGGATTTATTGACTTTGCTTGTAAACAGAAGCGGCTACAGAAAGGAACAAACGCTTACCCTGACTTGTTGTGAACACATTTTCGCACTTATTTCCGTGCTCACTTTATTTGTGTCTATTAGCAGTGACTCAAACTCAAACTCAAAATCAAACTGAAACTGAAACTCAAGCTGGAATTCAAACTGAAACTTACCTGACGTTGTCATGTCGTTGTATATAAATCTTGTGAAATTGTGTATCTCGTGGCTGTCCTGCGATGTCATCTTTCATTTCCATGGCAACATGCCGCGGCAGCACCGATAACAAAAGACGTTCCTGTGCGTGCATATAAGGACATACAAAAAATATTTAGTATGTAAAAAAAAAGGAATGAAAGAAAAAATATTTTAGTACAAAGATACGTGGAGTCAGAATGAAATCAAATGATCTGAATAAAATATAATGAACAAAGCGCCTGAATCGGTGTGTGTGTGTGCCCTATAAAAGCCTGTCAATAATTCCTAAAAATGGCAAAAGTTGTCTAACTTTTTCTTTGCATATTTTGTGCTTTTAATGCGTTGACTCCCATAACACCTGTGGGTATACGAATTTTTTCCTCAGAGTTGGAGGCACTTGTTAGCTCCTCATAAGCTGATAACAATCTTTGTTGTACGTTGAGAATGTAAGTTAAGACGTTTTAAGTACATTTTTTCCTCATTTCATTCAAGTTTTTGCAATTCTGTTCGAATTATGTGTATTTCCACATTCAACATTCTTTTCCCCAACTCCTGGAAGCAATCTTCACTGATTTCTTGTTTTGATTGTGTCTCGCTTCATTAATGTTTTGATTGAGTTTTAATGGATGTGCTTTTCTCCATTGCTTACATTCTGGAGTATTTAAATGAACATTAAATTTATTAAACACAAATTGTTTTCTGCTGTTTTTGTGGTGTTGCTAATATTTTTCATTAACATATTTAAAATGATTAAATATATAATTGGTTTTTTGCTTTCGATTACATTTGAATGAATTAAGATTATAAGAAATGAGAAGCTAAGAATACATACATAAGGAAGCGAAATAATTCATTACAGAGTACATACAATTCGATTTAATTCTTTAAATCTCTTAATACTGATTTATAGTATTATTAAATTTAAATTGATTTTAATCATATTTACATAAGAGAAAAAGTTGAGTGGGTGGAATGGGATCAATATAGCGCCAAAAAAAGATAATCAGTTAAAAGGAACGTATTTAATAATAAAAAATGAAATAAATATTAACCTTATCATTCTTAAAAAGATATGATATAAATAGATCATTTCTGAACATGAGAACAGTATAGCTATATAGAAAGAAAATTTCTTGTAAAGACCATTTCTTGTAAGACCATATTTAGTGCTAAAAAACGGAATGGAGATAAGACCAGTAACACGACATACAATATGTTTTCTGAAAACTGAAATAAGACTTGTTTACTAATAAAAAATTTTAGTATTTAGTAATTCAGGCCAGTGTTGTGAAATAGAAACTTTATTACTGGTGGAAATAAAATTAAAAAGAAACATATAATTACGTAAAAATCAAAAAGTATTAACACCCACATTACGACATAGGAAGATTTAGGAGCTGCTGCAAAATGGAAAAATTTTTAGTACTGAAAAAGTAATGGGAGTATGACCAGTAAAGCGACAAAATATATTTTCTGGTAAATCTGATATTTTTTTTTTTTTGTGAAATCCATTTATTTTATTACAATCTGTCAGGTATGAATGACAATAAGTAATATATATAATTATAAATCGTAATAATAATTATTACGATTTGATATAAAATATATTTAGTACTAAAAAAGTTTCAGTATTTAGTATGTTAGATTAGTATTGTAAAATAAAAACATAATTATTGGTGGACTTAAAACAAGAAAGCAATACATTTTTATGTAAAAATATGAGGCGATCAACAATTATATTGCGACATAAGAAGACATATGAACTCATATATAAAGAGAACTTATTTAGTACTTAAATAAAGAACGGCGAAAAGTTCAGTATAGCGAAACGAAGAGAAAAATGTTTAGTACTAAAAATAAAAAAGCGATAAGGCCAATATAGTAAAATAGAGAGATAGCCTGGTGGAACTAAAATAAAAAAGGAACGTATTTAGTACTCAAAAATGGAAGGGGATAATAAAAACAGTTTAAAAAAAATGCAACTTAATTTCGTTCTAAGAAATGAGGTCTTGCTACAAGACCAGTATAGCAAAATAAAAAGATGATTCCTGGTGCAACTAAAAAAAAAAAACATATTTAATACTAAAAATGGAAGGGAGATAAGACCAGTATATAAAAAAATAGAAATAGAATTTCTTGTAAAACTAACTGCTGTAGTACGATACATTCATATGATAAGTGGCATAAAGAAATTTTTTTTTTCAAGAACTACAGATAAATACAAACAAATACTTCAATGAAAAAACTAAAATTATACATTTTTAATTAAAAAAAATTGTATAAAAAACTAAATACATTAATAATTGTACATGGCAAATGTTTAACGCAGAATATTTCCTTTTAATTTTATGAAAATTATTGATTTCAACTTTCGTTGCCAAGGTAGATCGAGTGTGAGTACTTATCTTGACCCTCGCCTTCGTTCAATTGAATGCGTCAGACTGCACGTAAAAGCCATTTTGAAGGTAAAAAATTATTGATTGCATTGTTTTAAGCAATTTTAATTAAAATTCAGTTGAAACCATAACAAAAATTAAATACTGAAAATATATTTTTCATTACTACAGAAGAAATATACATTAAAAATGCTACTCCGTTTTTGAAAATAATCTCACTTTAGTAGTGAAATTTGTATTGCTCACATGAAATCTGTGCATTCCCGCACGAATGCATTTAAGCGCTCAAATGTAAAGCAGAGATAAGCTCTATTAAACGCTAGGAAACTGTGTGGCTTACCCACATATTTTCGTATATTTATAGATCTACTCCGGATATTGAGGTTCTAGGTTCTCGTAAAATACTAAGAATTGCACAAAATGTGTTGAATGAAGACAATGGCAAAAATGTAAATTCAATGCTAATAAGACAACTCTGTGTTCTGTGTTCTTAATATTTCCTTTGGGTGCGAGTGTATGTGTGCGTTTGTACTTGACTCATACGCTGTGTGGTGTTAAATATGTAAATGTGTTAGTTTCTGTTAGTTACAAGTGTAAACTCACCTGTTGTTGGTTTTCTCGTTGTGTTCGCAAACGTGCCTCAATGCACTGCCTTGTCTCAATGAATGCTTTGCGTTGTGCTTTCTCCTTGGGCCAATGCGTGTAGATGCCAGTAAGATTCGATAAAAATAGTGCTAAAATTGTGCACAATAGCTGAAATAATATGCAATATCAGCAACTGTGTTCTATTCAAGCACTATTTGAGAAGATTTTTATGGTTTTCAATTATTTTTTGTTGTCTCAATATTCAAATGTAAATGATACAAGCATAAAATAAATAAAATCCCTTATATTGAATATGTAAAAGAATATTGTATAAATATTTAACAAGTTTTATAAGTAAACAAGCAAATATCATTGTATAAAGTTTAATGAAGACTTCATAATCATAGTTTCTTAATAACAATAATTTTTTTTATTTGGTAATAAATTTTTATATTTTTATTTATTATTTTATGTTCAAACTAACGAATTTTTATTATTGTTAAAAATAAAAAATTTAAAAAAAAAAACAAGAAAGGACAGATTTATTATAGAATAGTTATACTGCCGTAATTAATGCACTGATGAGTTGTTAAAACAATGAAATTAAATTAAAAATTATTAATTACTATATCAAAAACTAATAAATTTTTAAATTAAATAAATATTCAACAGTACTGTATTTTTTAATTTAAATATTTAAATCAAACTTTTATTTAATTTAATGTTTAAACGTACACAATTTGATGTTTCTTATATTATTTTATCTCATAGAATTGATGGAAAAAATTTGAATTCCAATCGGTGAAATTCTTCGAAATATCAGTTATGTATAAAACACTTAATAAAATATTTAAAAATTTCCATTTCATAAAACATCTACACCTATAAAAAAAAACTACTTGAATTCTATTTGCAGCAACATTAAATATTTATAAAATTATTTAAATTTCAAAATACTTTGAATTTTCTCTCAAATATTTCACATCCTACGCACTGTTGCATTTTGAAAATGCTGTTTGGCATTCTATAATGACACATAACACATTTCTGCAAAAAAAAAATATACTTTATGGAGTACATGAGTAACGACAATCTATAAAGCCCGTTCAAGTATACACATACTGTCTCACAAATAATAAAGACGTCGTAGAGTACATATGTATGCTATTGCCTTCTACACGTGACAACAAGTTTGATGTTTCACAATACAATTATTACGGCATAAATAACTTAAATCCAATAATAACACAAAAGTTACACAATAAATAGTAGTAAAAAAAAGTAGAAATAGTTCAATAGTAGTAAACTCACTTCTTGCCATTTTATTTTAACTTCATCATAACGTAAACTGGTGTAAATATGAGTGAAAGATAGTACCATGCCTCCCACCAGTGCCTCACGTAGACGTAAAGGTAGCATAGTGTATGTCATATAGATGAACACAACACAACATGAACTGCCATTAAAGGATTTGCTGCAAAGAAAAAAAAAAAGAATAGAAAAATGAGAGTAAATCAAGCAAAACAGGAATGTCATATAAGTGCGTTCATCGACTGACAACTAACGAGTATTGAATGGGATTGGGAACGAGAAATAAGAAATAAAAAATATGGAAAGTTTAAAAATACCAAATAAATACAGAAATAGAAAATTGATATTATTTCCGTGTTTTTTCGTTAATAAAGAAATTAAAAGTATTAAAGAAGAAAATTTTTACTACTTATTATTGAGTTAAATATAAGAAAATTAATATTTTATTTAATAAAATTAATCATTACTAATAAGATATTATTATATATTATAAATTGTTATATATTTATTAATTAAGGATATTAAAATATTTTGTTTTCGTAGTATAAGTGAAAATAAATTTATTAACATATAAGGTGTTTCCATTTAATCTACACGTATTTTAAAGGTGTCAACTTAAGGAGGAGCTGAAAAGCAGGGAGCATCTTTTAAATTTTTTCTTTATAAAGTTGGACACGATGTTCACTAAACAAATTTTATATGTTAAAACTAAACATAAAATATGTATGTTACTTCATAGAAAATATCTTTAAGATTTTAAACGATTATTAAAAATGTGTAAAGAGAGAATAGGACAACACAGAGGTAGCGTTCAAACATTTTATTGAAAGAAATAAAAAAGTATTTTGTAAGATGGGGATCATTTGATGAGAAAAACTTCGCATGGAGAATTTCCTTTTCTTAAATGTAAAGCATGATAGAGCTAAAACATAAAGTCAGTTAACCATTCTACTCAAAACCAAAAGAACTCTTAAGTCCTGAACAAAGACGGGTTACTGCAACCTTAACTCGAATTTCTTACTTTAAGAAGATCAGTCGTTAGGTCTTTCCTTCAAGTCAAAGTAACTAGGTGTGCTTTTCGACTCCAAACCGAATTGGAGGAGTAATTTTGAAGAAAAAACTAAGAGACGGACTTCTACTAAACCTTTCATGAATGATGGGGATTGTAATACGGTAACAATCGGTAACAAGGTAACAATAGTATATGATATATACTTACCATTTAACAAGGTCATATTCCTTAGTAGTTTATTGTTTAAGAATCATAATGAAACCTAAACAGTGACTAGCGTGGTTACCTTAAAAACTTTAGTTTAAATACCCCAAAAAGGCTTAATTATGACACTCCTACCACTACAAGTGTTCGTTCAAGGCTGTGCTGCCAGAACTGCTCTAAGACTACGAGAGTCTAAGGTAAAGAAATCGACTAAAGATGTATACATTACAATTTTAAATTAAATTATTAAGACATTTTGTGGCCCAGTATAGTTTGCTCCAGCTACAGTAGGAAATACTTCTAAGTAAAATAGGGTTTAATGAATTTTTTATAA